GCCTAGAAATTCCTTCCACCAGATTAAGAGGTCCATCACCTCTAAATTCAGGCTCACAGACAGTCTCGGGACATGGGCAAAGTGTAGACAGCTTTTTTAGCCAGAACATAACACAAATGGCCTGAGGCCCAAGTTCTAATAGTTTTTCTTCTCCTCTGAAACCTCTTGAGCCCAGTCTTTGCTGTCCACAGTCTTATTGGCATCCTGATCTTCTGAATTCCCACCAGAATTGCTCATTAATGTCTCCTTACAACATTCTAAAAAATTTCCAGCTTGCATCACTTAACATTTCAAAATACCTCCCACAACTTCCAAAAAGCTCCAAAAGCTTCTGAACCACATGACCTGGTGAGTCGCAGCAACAACCCCACTTCAAGGTATCAACTTCTGTCTTAGCTTTTTTGTTAATGTGACCAAAAGACCTAACAAGAACAAATTTATGTGGGAGCTCACAGTTTCTGAAGTCTCAGTCTATAGATAGCTGACTCCATTGTTCTGGGCTGGAGGAACATGGTGGTGGAAGGATGTGGTGGAGGAAATCAGCTAGGAACATGGGAATAGGAAGCAGAGAGAGAGAGAGACTTCTCTCACCATGGACAAAATATATACCCCAAAGGCACATCCCCAGTGACTCACCTCCGCCAGCCACAGCTTACCTGCCTACAGTTACCACCCAGTTAACTCAATCACTTCACCTCTAAACCCTCTTGCATGGTCTCACACATGAGCTTTTAGGGAAACACCACAAACCTAAACCATAATATCTGTGAACATGGACAATTTGACTTCTTCCTTTCTAATTTGGATGCTCTTTATTTCTTTCCCTTGCTTAATTGCTCTTGCAAAGACTTACAACACCATATTAAATAAGAGTGGCAGGCGTGGACATCCTAGCCAGGCACAGTGGCACATGCCTATAATCTGTAATCCCAGTGGATCAGGAGGCTGAGGCAGGAGGATGGTACAAAGCCAGCCTCAGCAAAAGTGAGACCCTGTCTCTAAATAACATACAAAATAGGGCTGGGGATGTGGCTCAGTGGTCCAGTGCCCCTGAGTTAAATCCCTGGTGTCAGGTCGATGGTGGTGACTTAGGAACAGAAGCACCAAGCAGCCAGCGCACCCAAAAGAAGCATCAATCTGGCACCAATGGAACCGCCTGTCAATCAGCGAATCTCCTGGCCAATCCTGGGTCTCCTGGACATCCTTGTCTTGTTTCAGATCTTATAGGAAACACTTTCAGCTTTTCCACATTTGGGCTTTTTATATAGAGACTTTAGTATTTTTTTAATATTTATTTTTTAGGTATAGATGGACACAACACAATGCCTTTATTATTATTATTATTATTTTTTAATGTGATGCTGAGGATGGAACCCGGGTCCTGCCCATGCAAGGCGAGTGCTCCACCATTGAGCCACAATCCCAGCCTGAGTCTTTAGTATTTTGAGGTGTGTACCTTCTATATATAATTTGTTGAGAGGTTTTATCATGAAATTATCAAATGCTTTTTGTGCATCTATTGAAATGATCCTGTGTTTCTGGTGAAATGTGACATTACATTTATTGATTGGCAAATGCTAAACCATCTTTGCCTGCCTGTTGTTATCCTACTTGATCATAGGGTATCACCTTTTTGATCTTCTGTTGGACTATATTTGCTAGTCATTGTTGAGAAGTTTTGCAAACTTGTTCATCTGAGAACATTCAGGTTTTCATCCACCTCACAGAGTTTCCTCTTTACTAATGCATAAGCCCCATGAGAGCAGGGAGTTTTGTTGTTCATTGATGTACAGGGCTTTGATTAGACCATGAACAAGGAGAAAGAATAAAGAGTCAAATCACAGACTTTGAGTTCCCAAAAACATTGCTGAAAAGATGGGATGTGGAGAGGCACTGTCTGATTTTAAAAAGTCCTTGAGTGTCGGAGCACATCCAATGCCTGGACCAATACCTGGGCCTCATCAACCGAGGGGGAGACGGTTCTGCCTATTCACTTACAAGTGCACCTAGGCTGGGATGCTGAATGCCAGGTGATGATGCACCCCAGGGCACAGGACCTCTGAACCCTGATGGAGGCTTAAAACCAGCCACTGCCTGAACAGAACAGCACTGGTGGGAGCACAGGGCTCCCAGAGTTTGGGGGCTATGTTGTTTGCTATGGCATTGGCCTAGGATAAAAGCTCCCCCAAGTGAGTGGCTGAAAGGGCAGAAGGTTATGGCCTCACAGACCTGAAGGCAAAGGACAAAGATGTCCCACAACTGGTTCTCTGTCATGTTCCTCACGACTAAATACTCAGGGTCACTCCAGGGGAACTGGGCTGCAAGAAATAATCACACAAGGGACAGAGATACCTTTTTCTTTGGGGTCCTGTGATGATCAGAGGAGCCCCTCCGACCTTAGGGGTCCACAGAAAGAGAAAGAGTGAGAGCATGTGATGAACATGAGGAGAAGCCATTCAAATGAGGCAAGGGGTCAGGTTTCTGGGGGTTGAGCCTAGCTTCATGATGTCTGCTGTCAGCAGCAGGTTAACTGACATCTGGGAAGGCCACACTCAAAGGCAGAGCAAGAGAAGGGGACACACAAAGGGTGTTTCCATGAAACATTCTGTTCCAAACAAGGCAAAAGGGCAGGATTACAAAGGAACAGGTGAGTGTGGCTCAACCCAGGGGTGACTCGCCTACACGTGAAGAACACACGCCTTCAACTTCCTGGATTGGGACAATGTCAAGGTCACTAAAAAATGTAGTGACAGGTCAAAGCCTCTTGCTCCTGGATTGAAGGCGTGAATCATTCAGAGTGGCTCCCCACAGTTCTCTCCTAGGGCTGAGGTGGGGGTATCTGCTCCAGGACAGGCTCCTACCTTCTGGTGGTTTGCTGGTTCTTGGGAACCTTGGCTTATGAAAGCACGACCCCATCTCCGCCTTCACCTTTAGATGGCATTCTCCCCATGCATGGGTCTCTGGGTCCAAATGTCCCCTCCTGTAAAGACACCAGTCATCTAGGATTAGGTTCCATACTAAAGACCTCATCTGAACTAATTGCATCTCTAATGACCCTCTTTCCAAATAAGGACACATTCTGTGACCTAAACTTAGGAAGTGGGAGAAGGTGGGAGGGACCAAAATCTAACCCAGCACACAGCTCTGGCTCTTGAGGTAGACACCACTTTCAAGAGAAGAGCTGTCTGAATGGCTCTCAGGATCACTGAGGCAAGGCTGCAGCAAGGGCTGGGCTCAACTATCAGTAGCTTAATACAGCGAGAGTTGACCTCTGGCTCACGCGGCTACTCCAGGCCACAGAAGGCTGCAGAACTTCCCAGGACAGCAGCCCTCCACGCTCTGACTCACTGACCCAGACTGCTTCTGCCTTCAGGATCCACAGGAGAGGAACAGAGAGGCCAGGAGTTGCTCCTGGTTTTCAACTGGTCTCAGCCTGGAAATGACCTTTCCCGCCAATGCTTATGTTTGAGCAGACTCAGGGCAAAGGTGGACACTAGGGGAATGTTCATAACAAACACAGCCTCGATGGCAGGGGCTTTTTGATGATGTTTATGTAAGACCTTGGAAGCTGAATTGTCAGCACAGATTGGAGGGCAGGAAAAAAGATATTTGAAGGATTATGGAAAATAATATTCCTACAAGACAGCTCCCAGGGAAAAACAAAGGGTCAGTGTGACTCAGGAGGAGGGAGGGAACTTAGCCAAACATTAAACCTCTCCCAGTACCTCCTTTCCCAGTAATAATGGGCCCTGGGGGGAAAGCAAACTTCCATCCCTTCCCTGGTCCATCCCCAGAATCTTCACCAAAAGCATTCACCCTACCCAACCACAATGGCCAAGGGAGGAGGCGAATACTGAAAATCCGGGCCCTGGACTTTCCCACTTTCCTGGAAGGAAAGTTCTAGGTAACAATGGGTCCCAGAGATAAGCAGTGAACCCCCAGCTGTGAGCTTTTCCCAATGACAAGTTTCAAACATTTTACAACTGCTTCCCTGAGTTAACATTTTAACCTGCACAACTCGGTCCCTGACTGTTCAAATCGCACATCTGCAGTCACCAATGATTAATTCGCCCTCATTGTAAACTATAAAACCCAGACTCCTTTGCACTCCAGAAAATGAGCCATTTCCCATAACCAGAAAGTGAGCCCTTCAGTGCGGGATGGATTGATTTCACAGCAGAAAAAAGGAAAGCTGGCCTCTGCTTTCATCTCCTGCCTCCTTCATTTGGTCACCAGGCACTTACAATATTTACTTTAGGTAAATATTTATTTGAGCTAGAGTCACTGCATCCCCAAAGATGGAAGAATAAAGGATTGATACCCTCAGGAAGCATTAATTGACCCATTTCCAAAACAAGTGGAGACAGTGGTTTGGTGGGAACTTCAAGACAGCTTCTGGCTTTTCCTAGGTTTGGAAACTCAAGTGGGATGAGAGAAGGAGGAGAATACAGAGGAGGGTTCAGAGCAGGTGCAGGCTCTGGATCCCCTTAGGGGGGAGGAGAATCCTCCCCATGCAACCCTTGCCCCAGGACCCCACAGGCAGGACTAGGGTAGAGTCTCTTCAAGTCTCAGGTGATTTGCATTGGTCCTGGGACTTTGCAGAGGCTCTGCATGTACTTCCTGGGAATGAATGATTGATTGATGAAATGAATGGAGAGCACTAAATGCCCTTTTTCTACTCCCCAATGCCACATTTAGCACCCTATTCACTGTGCCTGCCATAGCACATGAACTTTGCCCATCCATGGGCAAAGTGGCTGCAGGAGGTGACTGGTGGTCACACCCATGGCTGGTTATGGAAATTTACCCAGTCGGGAGCTAAGCCAAAGAAAAGGCTTCAACATGACTTGAAATTTAATCTGGCATCAGCTCATGACATGAAAGATTTTCCAGTCCTCAACTCTGTCTTGCCAGCTGATGAGGGGGAAATGAAGGGGATTACCCAGGCACATGGGCATTTTGGAGTCCACCAATTGGACACTCCCACCTCCACCCAGTGCCTCACCAACCCCCAACTTCCCAGAGGGTGCAGCTATTTAAGAGCAGCTGCATTCAGGAAAAACAAGAGAGTCATTTGGAGCTATCCAGTCCAGTATCTTCTGAGAGGTAAATACCCAGAAACTAATAGTCCATGGAAAGAATTAGAATCCCTGCTCACTGGCTACTTTGAGAATGGCCGTGTTGTGTGATTATATGTGTGCATGCGTGTGAACCCACGTAGACATAAGCATGCCTGTGCACAATTTGGTAAGTAAAGGACAGCGTGTTGTGTGGTTTTTGTGAGCAAACTAAATAAAGAGACTGTGTGCACTACTTGGGTAGATGTCCACAGGCATCCATGTGCAAATAAGTGTGTGTGTGTGTGTGTGTGTGTGTGTGTGTGTGTGTGATTGAAAAAGTTTGCAGTGTGTTGCATTAGTTCTGGAGAGAATTATTGGGAATCAGATCAGATATTGGATGGAATTTCTGAGGTTTGAATAGAGCATGGGGATGTGGGTGAAATGTCTAATGGGGGGCGCAACCTCTGACCTTAGGGATTTCCCAAATGGGTGGGTGAAGCTGGTTCAGTGTCTCAGGAATTCTCAGTCTGTTGAGGAACAGGGGGTCTCATTCAGGTCTCATAGGGGGTCTCCATGGTCCGAGGGCCTGCACATGTGCAAAGCCGTTCCACAGAGCTGTGGAGGGTGAGGAGGTGGTATTATGAGCACACAGGTGGAGTCATGCTTGGGAACACTGGGTGCGACAGAGGTGTTCACCCTGGACTTACTGCAATGCAAGAGCAGGTCTGTACCCTCTAGGACAGTGAATTGGACAAGAGAATAGTGGCCAGGACAGGAGCTAGGACCACCTAGGAGAGGAGCCCAGGACAATCCATCTGCACTCATCCTGCACAGAACTCTCAGCATGAGGACCCTCCTGGCACTGGCAGTGATTATGGTCTTTGGTAAGAGCTGACATTGATCTCAGCACAGGGGGAACGCCAGAGGGGGAGGGGGGAGAAATACAAACCCCAAGTTTTCTTTCCTTTTGCAACAGTCCTCTCCTAGTGGGAAGAGAATAGAGGCCATGGGGGCAGGGGAGAGAAGCAGAGAGAGACAGAAGGAGGACACAGGGCCTCACACCCCATCACCAGCTATTTATCAATTTCCTTTCAGGCCTAATGTGGGTTCAGGGGGATATTTTTAACTTCAATTCCATGATCTCATCGGTGACAAAAAAGAATGGTGCAACCGATTATGGCGCCTATGGTTGCCACTGTGGCCTGGGTGGCAAAGGAACCCCCAAGGATGCAACGGATCGGTGAGGCCACCCCAGCCCTCCCTGCCCTGTGCTCACTTCTGGCCTCAGCAGGACTGAAGCTGGAAGGACAGAGCTGGTGCCCCATTGACACAAAGGTCCTGGGCTATCCCAGCTGGACAGGCCGTCAGCATGCTGCACCCTCTGCTCTAGACTATTCTATAGCCATTGTGTCTCTGCCTAGGATCAAGGGTGGGAGGGAGATGATGCGGCACCAGGGCCCCTGGAGCTATAGGAACGCAGCCCTAATGGTACAACCTCTACTAGATGCTGTGCCCGCCACGACTGTTGCTACAAGCGTCTGGAGAAACGTGGATGTGGCACAAAATTTCTGAGCTACAAGTTTAAATACCAAGCAGGCAAAGTCATCTGTAAAGGTAAGAAAGCCCTGTACCCAGTCCACTTTACCTCTTTCATTTGTTCCCTGCCCACCATGCCAGGTACAGTGCTAGACACAAGAGATAGGGACACAGAGGGACACGGTCACTGCCTTGAGAAGAAAGCAAGAAAGCCGAGATCACAAAGTGATGTCACTGCAAGCAGTGACAGCCGAGCTATGCAGAGTCAGATGAGGGTGGGAGTATTCCCAGAAGAACAACAGTATAGCCAAGGAACCCAGGGGGCTGCAGGTCATTCTGTGCTGCCCAGTGAGCAAGGCAGGGGCTAGATCAACCAGACCTTTCAGGCCAGGGTGTCTTTACTTTTGTCCTAAAGCCACAGGGAGCTAATTAGCACCTTTGCACAGAAGCACATTTGCTTTTCAGAGGACTTACTCTGGGTGCAGGATGGATGGGGCCCAGGGAGCCAGTTATGGCAGACAAAAGAGCAACAGCCAGGCATAAAGCCCTGGTGGTCAGGATGGAAGGGGCGTGGAATGAAATCAAGAAGCAACTATATGATTTTGAGGAAGAATCAGCTTGGAGATGCCTGAGGAAGATATGGGGATAATGAGCTTTTGGGTGGGTATTTGTGCAGATGGTACTGTGGAGGTAAAGATCCGGGATGTTGTTCTGCTGGGTTGTAAGAGGAACTATTCTAATTAGAATAATCACAGACTAGGGTCTCCAGACACCCTCCCTGGGCAATGGCCAGCAGCCAGCTGAGTGTGAACACTTGCAGCTCAGTGTGGGGTATGGACTGGGGTCATACTCAGATTTAGCAGAGGAGAACTGGAATTTGGGTGTGCTCACTCAAGGCCTCTGAAGGAGGCCAGTGGATTAGACAGAAAGTAGGGAAAAGGACTGAGTGAGAAGGTGAAGGTGCCATTGAGGAGATGATTAACAATAGCAGTTTAACAGAGGAGGCCACATTAGACGGACAGGGTTTCTCCAGACTGTGGGGCAAGAAGGTTGTTCAGGACATCAGGAGAAGGTGCTCTCCTTGAGCATGAGGGCGAAACCAGGTTAGAGTGGGTTAGGTATCGGTGGGAAGCAAAGTGGAGAGAGGAAGTGGAGGCAAATACATGGAGAAAGCTTGAATCTGAAGGGGAGGATGGAGATGGGTGGCAGCCAGAAAGACTGCTTAGTGACCCCAGACAGTGGGTCCAGTGTAATTGGGAGAGGGCATGAACTCCCACCCATAGCATGAATCATAAGATCAGAAATTGTCTCTTGCAATGGTGACCTCTCCGTAGGGGCATGTATGTTAGCAGGTTTTAGGGCCCAGACACAAGATGCCCAAACCACCACTGGTTCGGATATTGGGGCTGCCTGACTCTCAGAGTAAGAATTCTCCCAACTGCAGTCAGGCCTGGGGCTGCTTTTCCCCATCATCAGCTCTCAGAGTTGGCAGGTCCTACAATCTAAGTGTAGTCAAGACACATGCCGCAGCTCCAGGCACCCAGGCCTCACCCTGGCAGGCTTTCCCACTGTGCAACTCCCTTTTCCAAGGGAGGAAATGAATGCTTCCCAGAAGCCTCCAGCAGACTCGCGCTCATTGGCCAGACCAATGTTACCTGCTATTTAGAGACCAATCATTGTCAAGGAGAAAGGGAGGACCTGTCTTACGCCAATCACGATCCACCCCATGATTGGTGGGGCTGCACCGCCCGCCAGAGGGTGGCCAATGGGAAGGCCTGCGTCCTCTGGTGTGGTGTGCAGGGCTCTGTGTCTGCGATGGGCCGGGGACCTGCCTCCCCACCTGTCAGCAATGTCGGGAAAAGGAGCATCTGGAGGATGGGCGAGGTCCTCTCCCCCCAGGAGAAGCCACAGACTATTAAACTCCCATCCGGTGTTTATTTTCTTGTAATTTCAGCAAACCAGGGCTACTGTAGGAGTCAGCTGTGTCAGTGTGATAAAACTGCTGCCTACTGTTTTGCTAAAAACCGGAAAACCTACAATAGGAAGTACCAGTTCTATCCCAATGTGCTGTGCCGTGGGAAGAAGCCCAGTTGCTGAGGCTCCTCTTCGCCAAAGCCTGGCCAGCCAGTGCTGGTCCTCTTCTCCAACACCCTCTCTCCCAGCCCCCACCAAGTTCCCTGCAATCCAGAAAACAGTCCCGGTCCATCCCAGGGGCAAGCTAGGAGCCCTTCTGTCCTGACCCAAACAAGAAGACCAAACCCGGGGGCACCTCTGCTGAGTCCCCACTCCTGCCCTTCCCTACCACCTCCGGCCCCCTGCTTAGCTCCCAGCTGCACACTCCTGGGAGTCTTTTCTGAATAAACCAATTTGTCACCAAACTCTGTGTGCGTGTATGTATGTGTGTTCACTCAGTATGAGAACACACTCTACCAGACAAACTGGTACATGGTAAATTCAAAGTGTGGGCTCTAGCGTCAAGACTTTATGACTCCTCTACTCCACTACCCTGAGCCTTGGTTCTCCCACCCAAATGGAGATGACAGTGTCCCTCCTGCCTGGGCAGGTTTGAGAATTAAGGGAGATACCAATTTTTAAAGGACTGGGCCCAGCCCATCTACCGCTGCTATTCCTATTAGGAGTGAAACCCATATCTATCCATCTATCTATTTATTTCTCTCTCTCTCTCTCTCTCTCTCTCCCCATCCATATCTCTACCACCACCCCTTGCCTTCCCTGGGCCAGAACAGCTCCTCCTGGCCTGTTGGAAGATGTCTAACTTGTCAGAATCAAAATGGGTCACTTTTGTCAAAGTCTAGCCAAATTAAAGAAGCAAAGCAGAAGGTTCTGAAGGAGCGGATTTGACGCATGCACTGTTCACAGAGGACCGCAGGAACCATGACCTTGCACAAAGGCCATCTGCCAAGTACAGATGGAATCCTGTGTACACCCAGTCAAAGCAAGACACACTGACCATGCATTTAAAATTCCCTGACAGAATTTAAGGGATTTTCTTAGCCCTCCAGACACTGATAAGAAGCAAAATCCTAAGGCCCATAAAGAAGCTGTGTTTTGAGGCACTTCATCTGACAACACTGTGGTCCATTTTCATGGAAAGAATAGGGGGAAAGGTTACTTCTTCAACTGCAATTATAGAGGTAACATGTAAAGGCTGTTTAGCTTTTTATTTCTCTATTTTTTCCCCTTGGTCTATATGGAGTCTGCTTTACATTAAGAGAAAGACAAATGAAATGCACACACCAAAGCCTGGCCAGCCAGTGCTGGTCCTCTTCTCCAACACCCTCTCCCCCAGCCCACCTAAAAGGTTTTTTTCACGCACATCAACCAATAGAGAAGAAGAGAAAAACTTCTAATGGTGGTTTTGCAATTTACAGCAGCTCCATGGCAACAGAGACACACAAGAGTCATTCTTCCTGGAAATGAAAATTTAGATTTGCCTAGCTTTAACAGCTTAGGGTGATAAAACTGTTCTGGCTTTAAAAAAAACACACCTCCTCTCTACCTTAGATGAAATCTGAAGCAATAGTAAAAAATCTCTCTTCGCAGCATAAAAATTGCCTCATATACAACCTCGGCCAGGAAAAAAAAAGAAAAAAAGAATCTTTTAAACACCATTTCTAAAATGTTTCTTGCCCTATTTGATTCATCGAACAAACAAGAAGGGCAAACCAAAGAACAATAATTTTATGATTAAATTCAAGGTTACTTGGAGACTTGCTGCTCCAGACAAGCCTAGCTAAAATGGGAACAGCTAAGAGTTAACCCTAAACATTCAAGACTGGAAATGGGGTAAGAGAGGAGTGAAAAGAAGTTTTAGACCCTAAGCTGCTATGGGAACTGGTTGGTCTGAAAATATGGTCCATGGCTTTCAGGTCACATGAAAATCTTAAAAGTTTATCCATATGAACAGGTCACTTTAAGTTGTCCCTTTTGTCAAAAATATAATTTGGTTTCAATCATCTTTTTATAAGCCAGTGAATCTATACTACTCTATTTTTCTGTTTGGTGACTAATTATTTTTATTGGTACCAGGGATTGAACTCAGGGGCACTCAACCACTGAGCCACATCCCCAGCCCTATTTTGTATTTTATTTAGAGATAGGGTCTCACTGAATAGCTTAGCAACTCCCTTTTGCTGAGGCTGGCTTTGAACTTGCAATCTCCTGTCTCTGCCTCCTGAGCCACTGAGATTACAAGCATGCACCTCTGTGCCCAGCTGGTGACTAACATTTTAAACTGCAAGATTGTCATTTGTAGATATCATGCATGGTATGTGTGTGTACAAGTTGTATAGTGAAGGATGAATCTTATGAAAGAAAATAGTTGTATGTTGTATCCATATAGTAAAATCATAGGAATTCTATTTGCATGGGCTTATGAGTAAAGGACCACTCATATAACTTGACACTGTTCAGATTATAGTAACTAACCAAAATGCTTTTTAATTCACATGACTTGAGTAAATCCTTGATAAATAAACTGGTTTTAAATATTAAAAGTGAAAATATCTTCAGAACTGTTAGTTACATGCTTGCCTGGGTGTGCTGGTGAGGAAGGGCTATATTTATCTCTGTTAGATGTTTAAGATCAAAAAAGTTTAATTTTGACCTAAGCATGCAATGCAGTATCCTCTGTTTTCTAGATATCAAGCACATATTTCCTTAACAAAGAAATAACTTAAAATGAAAACTATAATTATCTAATATCTGTTTTCACAAATAGTCCAGATATTATTTTTAAAATAAATTGTGTCAATGTAAAGGAGATAAATGTTTATGAATGAACTTTTTATGCCAAGTTTTATGTTATGTTAAACTACATAATGACTGAATCATATCAAAGTTAAAATACTAAGACATCAATTGATACATATGTATTCAAATATATTTGGCTTCATTAATTCTATGGGAAAGGCAATATATTTGGTTCTCTTAATATATGTTTTATTCGACATATGTTTTTTCTCTATGAGAGAGCACATGTTATAATATAAATTATAAAATATGTACTGATACAGACTGTGGGTGTTGCTCAGCAGTAGAGAGTTTACCTAGTATGTGTGAGATCCTGGTTTCCATCCCCAGCACTACAAAAAGCAAAAAGTAAAATCAAAAAATATATACATATGCCTGGTGTGGTGGCCCATGACTGTAATTCCAGAAACTCAGGAGGCTGAGGTAGGTTGGTTGCAAGTTTAAAGCCAGTCTTGGCAAATTAGCAAGACCCAGTCTCAAAAAGAAAGAGGGTGAGGGTGATGTTTGTGGATGTAGCTCAGCAGTAAAGCACCGAAAAGTTCAATCTCCAGTACCAAACAACCAAAAAAATGAAAAAAAAAATATATATATATATACTAATAATTTGTTGAAAGATAGCAAACAGATCAAAATTGCTTACTTTCCAGGTTTTTCTCCACTGGAATTTATGTTACTGGATACGTTACTGGAATTTAACATTACTGGAATTTACATTACCAAGGTTTAACATTATATATATATAACACATATTATATACATATATTATATACATATTATAACTACTATATATACATATTAATATGGTTTACATGTATCACATATATTACTTATATTTTAGTTATATATATGTCATACATGTATTTTCTTATATAAAGTGTGTCAGAAAATTATAATGTGTTTTTATAAGAAAAACTATAAGACATAAAATGACTTTTTTATTAAGGAAAAAATAATTCTAATTTGGAAATTGTTTTAAGGATTGTTTCAAAGGGTAGATTTGTGGAAGAAAATAAAACGGGGCAGAAAGGAGCCAATGAGTGGTGGAGAGAGAGGTAATGGCCAAAAGCGGGCACAAGGACATCTGGTAAGGAAAGCTAAAACAAGAAAGAATTTTTTGCATGAGAAAGAATTTTGCATGGTGAAGGATGAATCTTATGAAAGAAAATCTGTGTGTGAACAATTTGACCATAACTAGAAGAAAATTACCTATGTGTTTTTCTAAAATTTGACCATTAATATTGAGATAAAACCAGAAAATGATCTTTAAGTTTAAAGCAACATAGTTCTCTTGGCATATTGATTGGCCCTTAGTAAAAATTTGCAAGTAATCCATTGCAGCACCATGCACCTGTAACACCAGGTTCTCAGGAGACTGAGGCAGGAGGATCCCCTGAGCCCAGCAATTCACGGCCAGCCACGGCAATATAGCAAGACCATCCTCTCAAAATTTAAAAAAAAAAAGAAGAAGAAGAAAAGAAAAATGTTTTGCAAGACGATTAGATTTAAAATTTTGAAATCAGTTTTGTTTTTGATTTTCCACCATTGTCTGCACTGCAGCTTTTCTTGTTTAACATCTCCCATTTAATCAGTGACTCCCCAACATTTTAGTCAGCTACCACAGCTTATTTTTCTCCCCTGTGCTGACTCTGCTTATTGTGGCCTGACAGCCTTGATAATGATTCTTCTTTTCTTTTTCTTTTTAGTTGTAGATGGATACAATACCTTTATTTATGTCTCTTTATTTATTTATTTAGTGTGGCACTGAGGATTGAACCCAGGGCCTCACACAGGCTAGGCAAGCACTCTACCACTGAGCTGCAGCCCCAGCCTTTGGCTTTTCTCAATGTCTTTGAATTGGTCCATGTGACCGGATTATTTGACGTGCTTTTAAAATTTCCCAGAGTCAGGCACTGCCCTGCTCAGGGCACTGGTGCTCTTGTTGACACTTTTCTGCAGGATGATGTGCCCTCGTGCACTGGGACATGTGCTCTTCCACACTGGTTATATCAACCTTTTCACCAGATGTGCCTTCCAGATTGTCTGGATGAGCTTCCCATAAGTAGAAGCACTCACACTGCAGAACCTTTTTCTTGACCTTTTGGTAAATGGTCTAGGAAACAAAGACTTTATGTTCTTTCCAGATTTTCTTTTTCATGATATCTTTCTTAGATTTCTTGTTAATGGAAACAAACTGAGCTTTAGAATAGTTAAGGTTTCTGTTTTATGATATCTCTTCCTTTTAAAATCTTTTAACTATCACTTTGGTTTAATGAATGCCTACTGTTTCATGAAGACGGATGGTCCTATTTTGTTTTGTTTTGTTTTGTTTTTTGGTACTGTGGATTGAACTCAGGGGTGAGTAACCACTGAGCCACATCCCCAGCCATTTTTTGTTTTTTAGTTTGAAACAGGGTTAACTAAGTTGTTTAGGGCCTTGATCAAATGTTTTAATTCTTAGATATCTTTGGCAGGCTTCTTTGGGATCAACATTCTTAGTTAAGTCTTTCCAATTTTGAGATGTTCCAGTTGGACTACTGGAAATCCTAAAAAGTTATAGCTCTCATCTTGCAGAGATGATGAATACCTTGCCTGGGATCCACCATCA